TTTTGTCACTGCTAGCTCTCGCGTCTACTAGTCAGTAGTATAGGGATGGAACGAGTGCGACCCTAGGAGAATGTAAAGAGTGTCTGGAGACGAGTGACACGCATACGAGAATATCGATTGTATCGAGGGATATTTATGACAGAGTCGAATGCGAGCAACGAGCTAAAATTCAGGAATGTGTCCTGAGTGTTTGAAGTACCTGGTTCACTGAGGGCGAGAATGCGTGGGGAATGTCTGATTGGGGAAGAAACTTGAGTATGAAAGAAGACGAAGTGTAAGGTTTAAATAAGGGTGCAAGGATATGGGCGAAGCAGAGTATAGTGAGTCAAAGAGTGGAGAATTGAGAAAGTATCTGAGTGTTGTGAGAGGTCAGTGAGTTGCCAATGTGGCAATATGTATCGGAGAGTGTTAGGGACTAGAATTAATCTATTACCTTATTTGTTATTTGCTGTCTTTGAAATACATAATAATTATTGACCATCAATAATGCTACCGTGTGAGAGAATATATATATTGGCTATAAAGCACAGACGGTGGGCTATAAAACAAGTGCAAGTACACTTGTCCATCTAAAGAATAAATGATTTCCTAAATTCTAACTACTCTGCGTTACGTTGTTATCCAATTCCGATAATTTTTAATTATCGTAAAATAACCGGACGTAATGTAAGATAAACGAAAAATGTATTATTCCAATATGAAAAATATAACCTCGTTTGTTTCCTAATTGTCAAACAAGCCACGTAACAATTATCATACCCATATCTGGAACAATTTCAACTTCTATCACGAAGTTATTCCCTTTTTATTTCCTATTTGATTCAAGTACAAAAACGGCGTAACAGTTAGGTATTCGCTGTGTGCGAGGTTGCTCTTCACCGGCTTCCATTCGCTCCTTAAAAAATGAGCGGTTCTGAGGATATTTCACGAGGCAAATGCCGTGACTTATTTTACGGGAGGAGAGAAGCAGACGAACGCGAATTTCCGGCGAGCCGACGTTCTTTCTTTCCTACTGCTTCTCTCCGCTGAAACCTTGTCGTGTTTCGAGCAAAGAAACGCACGCCTGCTCGCGCAACCGCGATATCCCGAGGTTTCTTCTCTATTAGCATGATCGCAACTGCGTATCGAGTTTCCTCTTCGTTATTCTCTCCTTAAATCTCCATCGACTTCGTCAATCTATTTTTCGAGTATCCGTATCTGCGGCTAGGGAATACGAGACGCTAGGAATATCTCGGATTTCGGAAATATTCTAGAAATATTCTAGAGAAATCGCGCTATCGGACGGAATGGATTTGTTTAAGTTTTCCGCTGAAAGAAAGCTTGGGAAAATGAAGAGGATGAAATAGAGAAACGAAAAATACAGCGATTCTCCAACACCGTATTTAAACGTGCATCGGCAAGAAGCATTGGAGAGAAAATGATAGTGAACCTGACTACGGTGGTCGCAGGAAACCGCGTGATTTCTTTGCGGCTGTAATTTGTCCGCTTTTCGCTCGCTTTTCGTTTATTCGCGACGGATCCCTCACGAAAAACTGACTTCAGTTGCGGGATCCGCTTGTAGAATTTTCATACTGGAAAATCGGACTTGTGTTTACGAGAAACAAATACATACGTGGTCGTAGGAAAAAGAGACGAATATTGAGAAAAAAACTTACGTAATTTTAGAGAACCATCGTTCTCACCCCCGGTGCTAGATGGATTCCGGATTCAAGGAGGTTCGAGGATTTTTTCGCAAGTCCTCGGTAAATCCTCCGTTTCCTATATACAGAATTTCCAAATTTTTCAATAGTTGTCCTGTCTAAGGCAGGGCCTGTTAGCCTTACCTATGAGTCCTCTAGCAGACCCGGGACGGAAAGCATCCTTTTCATTTGCTTTCGCCCCTCTACCAGCACCAGAGTAACGCATCTAATTGTAGTAGCCATAGGAGTACTGCAGTACCCCCTAATCTAACCTAAGCTCTTTGCTTCCTATATATAGAATTTTCAGATTTTTCAATAGCATCTCCGTCTAAAACTGGACCTGCTAGCCTTACCTGTGAGTCCTCTAGCGGGCTCGGGACGGAAGGCATCCTCTTCCTTTGCTTTCGTCTCTTGCAGCACCAGAGTAATGCATCTAATTGTAGTACCCCCTAATCTAACCTAAGCTCTTTGCTTCCTATATATAGAATTTCCAGATTTTTCAATAGCATCGCCGTCTAAAACTGGACCTGCTAGCCTTACCTATGAGTCCTCTAGCAGGCTCGGGACGGAAGGCATCCTCTTCCTTTGCTTTCGTCCCTTGCAGCACCAGAGTAATGCATCTAATTGTAGTACCCCGTAATCTAACCTAAGCTCTTTGCTTCCTATATATAGAATTTCCAGATTTTTCAATAGCATCGCCGCTTAAAACTGGACCTGCTAGTCTTACCTATGAGTTCTCCAGCAGGTCCGGGACGAAACGCCATCCCTTCTTTCCCTTTCGTCCCTTCCAACATCAGAGCAACGCATCTAATTGTAGTACCCATAGAGGTATTGTAGTACCCATTAACCTAACCTAAATTCTTCGCTTCCTATATATAGAATTTTCAGATTTTCCACTAGTATCCTCGTCTAACGCAGCACCTGCTAGTCTTACCTATGAGTCCTCCAGCAGGCCCAAGGACGAAACGCCATTTCTTTCTTTTCCTTTCGTTCCTTTCAGCAGGGAGACAATACGGAGGATACCTGAACGCAACCAATGACAGCTATCGCAAGGGAGGATCCCCACAGAACATTAACAAATATGCTGAAAATTTGAGAATTTTAAACAACAAATGTCTAAAATAAAATACGAGACACGACGTTTCTTTACAACCATAAATAACAAAACGGGGGAAATTAAATAGTACAAACCAGGAAATCGGAAGATGAATCGGTAGATATTGTAAATATCATTTATTGGACTTTTAGGCGTCATGGGGTACAACGATTACATCACGTTGCTTATTTATAACACCTAAGCAATTCGATAAAAAGGAAAAGAAAAGAAGAACTACGGGGAGACGTTTCTCGTTTGTTTGGGCTAAGAAAAGGAGAACAGAAAGAAACAAAAATGATTGGAAAATGAAGAAACTGGTGGAGAACATCGAGTGAATTCGTTCTCGCGTCTATAAAGTGTAATATAATGCCGACTTCCGTGCGGATTAGGCGTGAACGGATGAACGAAGCTAACGCATCGCAGTCGGCATGCATCGAGAAAATTAGGAACCACTGCGCTTACAAAAATGTACGCAACAACATCTTTTCATTTTTCTTCTGCATTCTTCGTTCTTCGTTTCTTCTTTCTTCTTCTTCTTCTTCATCTTCTTTCTTCTTTTATTTATTTTTTTTTTCTTTCGGAGGAACTGGAACGATCGAAACGAGACGCTATGCCCACCTCTTACCTAGCAATCGTGGAAAGATGAAAAACGAATAATCACGAAGGACAACGATGCGTCACGTTATGTACGTACGTTACGTCACTGTTTTTTCCTTTCGTCCGTTTCCTGTATTCTCGCAATCTTTTTCCCAGTCCATCTACAAAGATACAGGACGTTCGTCGGGGATAGGGAGATTCGATTATTCGTTCTCGTTGGAATCGCGTTCTGTGTCTGAACCGAAATCGAAATCGTCATCGTCATCGTCATCGTCATCGTCATCGTCATCGTCATCGTCATCGTCATCGTCGTCGTCGTCATCGTCGCACATTTTTTCACGGCCACACTCTCTCGATTGGAAACTAACCATCGATCGGTACACGACATCCAGGGGGAAGGCGAACGAGAACTTATGGCTAAATAAAACTTTATAAAAATATATCAACGAATAATAAATATATCTCTAACAGCGTCACTGTATAATTCGTCATGCATAGCCCTCGGTGTACGATAGCCTATGCATTTACAATCACTATATACACGCTATTTTTTTTCCCCTTTTTAACGCTACTTACCTAAAATAATATACAACAATGTACCATTTTTTTCCTTAATGTACCTATTTTTTTTTTTTGTCGTTTTTTCTTTTTCTTTTTTACGGAATATTTTCTGCTTCGTTTCTTCCGTTCTTTCCTCTTCTCCTCTTTTCTTCCCGCGCGTTTAATTCATCTCGTTACTTCGTTTCTTTAACCGAACGCGTTAGTTAACCCCATCGTTTCCCTCGTTCCACGCCGCGCTCTACACCGAGTCGTTTTCTTTGGTTCACGTTACGCTCTAACAATTACACGGGAACGAACAGTCTTCTATACCGTTTTCTATGCCGTTCTCTACACCGCTTTCAACACCTCGGCGCGCAGCGGTCGACGTTCAGCGAACCCCGAATGTAAAAATTGGTCTCTGATTCAACGCGTGTACACCCCCCTCGCTCATTGCGTTCCTCGCTTTTCCTTCGATCTCCGTCTGTGTGTGCCGTTCGGTTTCCTTACAAGTAGACTATACAAATATTTACACGTGCCCCTCGTAACGCGTAACCTCGTGGAATATTCCGTGCTATTAAGCTTAATCGGGAACAATCGCCGCGAGACGGGGTGCCCGTTAGTCGAAACCTCGCGACGATTTAGTTTACAAAGTTTTCCACTGCGCGATAATCGTATCCACCGTCGGCCGAATCGCAACGGCCGCACCGTTTCTCCATTTAAGGCCAGAGAAAGACATTTGGCTACGTCGTAGTCGCAGATTCGAGTCGTGGACTCTAGAGGTCTCGAACACGCGCGAAGAGTGTTCGTTTTCCGCTTTGGAATCGAGAGTTCTCTCTCCCTTTCCATATTCCAGACAAAACAAAGTGAAAAAGAAAGAAGTTCTAAGACAAAACTAAAAAGAATAAATAGCGTATCGATAGTACACAATGGTTACCTCGATTAGAACCGTCTGTCCCAACCGACTCGAGGTTTATCCTCTAGAAAACCCTACGACAAGAATATCGAAAAGAAGACGCAGAACGGAGAAAATGAAAGAAAAAGAAGGAATCTAGCAACGAGATCCATGATTAAGGAACGTCGAGGCCGGATTATCGTCGTCGCCGGAAGCTCTGCATCGTTCATCGACAACGACAGCGTCGATAAAAGGCTTTCTCGTTTAAGCGCGCTCACCCTTTTCGATACATAATAAACAGGGTTTTCTCGTTGCATCGTCATCGAGTCTCGCCTCGCGTCAAGAACACGCCAATACGAAACATTCCTCCTCGCCCTTGCTCTCTCCCCTTTCATCCCTAACTGTTCCTCTCGCTCTCTCTCTCTCTCTCTCTCTCTCTCTCTCTCCCTCTCTCTCTCGCATGCTTTCGCTCAATTCGTATATTTTATATTTACAATCGCCCAAGTCGCGGAAATACTGACGGAACTCTGACTTTCCTTCCCCCTCTGTTCCCCGCGGTCGACAAAGGAAAGTTCGTTTCTTAAGTTCGACCCCCCTTCCATGGCAGTGTTCGCAGGCAACGTTTCCGACGTACCGGCCAGACCGAGTTTCAGCGACGATGCTGCTGGAGGATGACCAGGGCCAGACACATCGACAAGCAGGTGAGACTCGCTGACCGGAAGTGAGCGTGACTGTACTCGGAGGCGCGAGTCATGTTCAACAAAACGGATGCGTCCGAAATCCCTTCGGACGAGCGTACCAGCAGCAACCATTCGCCGGCGTGAGACCATTGAATCGTGTCGAAGCTCAGCACCGTTCTGTAACAGGACTCCGTGCCACCGTCCTGAAAGGCAAACAACGAGAGACGTGCGTCGTTAATGAATTCGATACCGGTGTTCCCCGGCAGTTTGTCAAGTATTCGTGACCCGATTCGTGCGACGGATTTAGAGGGTTCACTGTTTGGCACCGGGGTTATAAAGGATAATTTATCTCGAGGCAGTTCCACGGGATTGTTGCTGTTCGAGAAGTTTTTGAGAGGGAAGTTGATAGCGGAATGGGTCAAGGGTAGTTCGAGGTTTCGCATTTTCCTCCATTTTTTCTCTTCCTTTCGCGAGAGCGTGTGCTTCTCCGTGTACAGGGGGATGATTGGAGTTTTGAAGAATGGCAGAGGAATTTCTGCGTGCTTCGAGCCATGTTTCCCAGATTAGGCTGATTTGCGGTCCAGGGGGACCCGGGAATTTTCTTGGCCGTTTAACTTGCTTTATTCGCGACTCTTCCTTGCCCGCGGTGGAAAGGAATTTTGCGATGCGTGCTCGAGTCACGTGTACTTTCTCCCGACAAATTACACGTTTATTTGGAGAAAATTGTTTGCACAATTATCTACACACGCTTTGGATCTCTAATGTCTAAGGGATAGGATGTAATTTGCGTGCGAGAGGAATTAGAAAATTTGTTTAACTTAGGTATAGCTACTGAATGGATATTAGGATAAAAATTTGTCACAAAGGAATTTTGAGTTGTAAATGTATTACAAGTTAAAAGTCAATCGCGAAGAAGTTATACACTCGTTTAAAAAAAATTATTTCTATCGTAATCAGGCTATTTTCTCAATTATCGATAAATATATAAGTTCTCTAATATCTAATGAGATGGGAGATAATTTACGTGTGACAGGGATTAAAAGTTTGTCTACTATCTCAGGTATGGAAGCTGAAATTATTTCTCGATATCTGGAGATTTTTAATTGGCCAGAAATTTCAGGTGCATAGACATTTCTTGCAGACTATAAATTAAGAAATTATTCCAACAAATTATCTACGTCTCTAACTACCTAGAGCAACGAACAAACTTCAAACAGAAAAAATCTGGACCGAAATGAGAGCCAGTGGATGGAGACACAGCAAAACCACGCAGGAGCGGGGAAGTCCACTGGCGTGGATGAAATCGACCCATAAACTCGGAGGTAACCCGGAACGGTGAGAAATTTTGATTACCGAAGGAAAGATGCGATATTTAAGCGACAGTTTCGAAGCCGTTCGATTTCCCGGCAGTTTTCCAACGCTCGTTAACTCGCGACTCTTAACGCCCATTCGCCGGCTATATTTCTTACCCGCCGCGATTCCGCTTAGCTTCTTGCAATTAACTTCCCCGCGGAAAACTCGCGCAGCATTTCCCGCATCGATTCCCAGTATCACCTCCGATTTCCGTCGCTTTTTCTTCCCTCTCCGCGAGTCCTGCACCTCCTTTGTTCTCCCTTTTTCCACGGGACAGTTTCCCTTGGAAAACTTTTTCAGTCTCGTCGACTTTTTGCGAACTGTCCACGAGATTGGCCAGACCAAATGGTCAAATCGCGATTCCGAAATAATTTTTGTCACGAAATAATTTTTCCACGGAAAGTAACGTCGATATGGGAAAAATTCGTGAATTGGAAACTGTCAATTGCAAACTGGACAAAGAGAGGAAAGAGAGGAGGGAGGAAGAAAGCCGGAGACCACGCGTTATTATAAGATCCATTACGAGGTATTACACGATGCAGCTTGCTAAACGATTTCCTTGTATTATTCAGACCCGTTAATTACTCCGATTATCCTCGCATATATATTCTGCCGTTTAATTAGCGAAAAAAGGTCAGCTGATCGGAGAGGACAGGGAGGAAAAGTCTTCGCTGTGTGCCGTTCGTGACGGGAAAAAGGGACCGGGTAAACGTATAAATAATTCATACGAAAGACGTTGATTTTGATATTAATTTTAACTCGCGGAACAGAAACGAAGCGGCGGGATTACACGCTGAATCGCGACGCGGAATACAAAAAGGCGTAATTACATCGGACGATGTCCCTTTTATCAATTCGCGTCCCCTTCGTTTCGCAAAGTACGTCCATGGGAAAGAGAAATACGTTTACGTAATTGAATGCGATGCTCGCTCGTCTCGGCGGTAACTCCTGCCGCAATTTCGAGCAGACGTCGTAGTCCCGCGAATTTTTCGCGTTCAAGCAGTCGCTGTTTCTTGCTCCATTTAACTCCTCGCCTCATCCTCGCCTCAATCTTGCCCCCCTGGCCCCCACTGTCTTCCCGGATTCCTCCTGTTCTCCATTCTTCCGCGCCTGGTCTTCCTCCTTTCACCCTCTTCCGCCTCGCGTTTTCCTCTTTCACGCGGCTCCAGCCCATGAGCGTGTTTCCTCTCATCACGCTTGATTTACGTCGCTTTCTCGCGCCGATTTGGATCATCGCTGATGAATCAAGCGTCTCAAGGTGTACGTCATGTTTATCGAAATGTTTATCGAGAAGAAAGAAATTATTTTGGAACGGTTTCGAAATTGTCCTCCCCGTATCGTTGCGATTTTCCCGGTTATTTTGCTGTCAGTTTGATGTTATTTTTCCGCCATTTTGGTCTTTTATGTCCGCGGCGTAATATCACGATATCGCGTACTCGTATTTTTCCGAAAATTGTGACGCGATCGCGTATCCGATTTGAGCGAGAGCATAAATAAAAAAGAAAATTTTCATTTGTATATTTTATCATTATTTCTTTGTAATACGATATCAGTTCACTATGCATGGAATTTTCCGCGGAACACGTTAATTACTACGGGCTTTGAAAATTATGTATAGGATGACTGATTATTCATCCATTATATTTCCACGGTATACCCGACATTACGATAAAAAATCGTTAATAAAACCGAGGAGAAAAAAGTTATACGATATCACCGTATTTAAATATAACGCGCGTTAAAAACTCGGATAAAATCAGGACAATTTTATATCTCGCACCGAAATAGCCAATACCGTGCTTCTAAATAGGTTAAACTTCTTACAGCCACGGTGTTAAAAGCCTTAGAAAATCCTGAGCGTTTTTTTTTTTTTACAAAAATATGATACTCGGGGAAGCTCGTGAATTTCGAATTACGTTTAATTCTCTAATAAAATTAGTAATACGAGAGAGGGTTGAAACATTTACGACCTAATAAACGCGTTATCTCCGCTGGAATTTTTCATTTTATTTCGCAAAACATCAAACGAAGTTACACCGCCCTTTCCCGAGCATCGACTAATTTTTCAAAATTCCGATTCGAAGCTCTCCGCGTATAAATTATCCAGAGATTGTTCCCACGTTTATTTCCAAGTCGCTCTTCCTCCCCCGATCGAAAAAGCCTCGAAACACGGCGGAGGAATTAAAAATGGCGAGAACGCGGGCGTGAACTTCGGGTCCACTCGAGATCGACCCCGTTTCACGCTTCTATTTTCTCTTCCCAAAACGAATTCCAACCTGCAAACGCTTTAAACGATCAGTGCCGGCGAACAAGGCGGGTGCAGCGCAACCCTTTTGTCCCTTAGCGCGGTGGAAAACTTCTTTCCCGTTGCCCGGTGTACAAACAGCGTTCGACCGGAAACGGTGTCGCGTCACGGCGCTGTGCTTGCCTTCGTCGGCGTCCTCGAGCGTCTCGTCTCTCTGTTCCACTGATTGTCGGCCGTGTGCAAACACGCCGACGCGTTGTTCTCCGCGTGGCGTCGCGTCGCGTAGCCGTGACGGGACGAGCTGCCGTACTTTTGTTCGTCGAGGGGCGTCGATCCACGGAAATTTCATCGAAACTTTCCACCCTCCGTCCCTGCCAACTCGAAGTGAAATTTCTGCGGCATTCGTCGGCGGCACGACTGATAGTAGTTAGTACGTGATTTACCCGCTTGCCTCTATCTCCCCGGCTGTCCCGTCCTCTATATCCCTTGTTATCCGGGGCTGCAGTAGCGGGTAATTAATTCGTGGAATTGCAGCTCCTCGACGAGGGTTACGGAGGGGGTTGGTCTGCGGGGTGAAGAACGACGAAACTCCGAGCCGGGTGCACGTGTTGCGGTGAGCGTAGTTATTTTGACCCAGATTCTGTTTTGAATGCCTCGCACTGTGTCGATACCGGCCACCAGCTATTCCGACCAACTTCCGCTCACGAAAAATTAATATGCTTCCGCTTAATCGCGCCGGGAGAACCGTGAGATTTCGCATAGATTCGCATAGCGTCGGCGACTGTAACCGAGATCGCGTGCCCGTTCGACGGGACCGGAAAACGCGTTGGCGAAATTTTCATCGATAATTCGGAAGGGGTTTGCCGATTGCGCGTTATGCATCGGAAAGTTCGTCGTTTAGTTCTATTTGTAAGTCGGGAATCCCAGAAATGTCATCCTCGGGTAACACGGTGGACGTTCAAACATTAACTTTACAGGATTTGGCTTGTTCATGGCGAAAATTAAGGCACTCTATGAAAAAATGAAAATACTGAGAGGAACGTTGAAATATTTAATTCCGAGAGAATATGGATCGTGAATTGAAAACCGTGTTTTCCTATATTCCCGGAAATTTTTAATATTCGACTGCGATATTTCATAGCTTTCGTGTACAATAAAGATTAAAATCCGTCCTTTATTATACGTTCAATCAAAATTTGATATTTATCCCTTCCCATAACATGACACGCGTGGTAAGAAGAAAATTGCAAGATCGGTATCGGTGAAATTAGAAAATAATTCGACGATGTACGCGATATTTAAGATAAACGTTTATCGGAGATACGCGTCGTGGTGGCGCTAGTGAGTTAAACGAAAAATCGTAACGCCCACTCGTTGCAATTTCTTAGGCAATTGATACCTCACGATAGCGGAAAAAACCTACAAGGAAATAACTGGTAGCCAAGGATAGAGCAGAAAACACTTTCCTTCGGTCCTGAAATCGTCATCTATCTTCCGCGCGAGCGGAGGCGAGCCGTGATTAATCCTCCTCGGAGGAGAGGATATTCCCGTCGAATGGGGGCAGGGAATGACTGTTGGAGCGTAGACGAAGATCTCGTGCATGTTTCAAGCTCGGAAACGGAATAATGCAGGAACAAGCGCGAACGGGAGAGCTTAAACGCTTTAAAGGAAACGCTCTACGCCTCCCTCTCTCGTCCTCGCCTTAACGAATGATCCCACGTGATGAAATCCGTAATTTCCCCGATAAAGGAAACGGCGAAAGGACGACGGGGAAACGAAAAGATCGACGAGGAAATTAACAAAGACGATCGCTTTTTACGTCGAACGAATTAAGAACGTTCCTGCGCGGAACAAAGGGGATTAAAAGTTAGCAAAAACAAACGTAGCACAGGTGCATTAGTAAATCCCTCTAAAGCTACGCCGGATTCTTTCCTCTCCTCCTCATTTTTCGTCCGCCTATCGTCTTCTTCCATCCCCAGTCTCTTGTTCCAGGCTGCAGCGTTTCGCCGTTATTCCTGATTCCTCGGAAAAAGGAAGGGGAGGAGGAAAAAAGGGAACCAGCAAGAGAGAAAGGGGCAGTTAATCCGTCTTTTGTGCGGCCATCCGGTATCTGGACTGTGTCCGTCGGTAGAGAATAAAAATGGAGGGAAGAAGACAGCAAAGCGAGGAGACGCGTGGCGACGCGAAAATGAAATAAGCGCGGGCACCACGTATGAATCTGGTATCCCAGCTTCGCTCCTTCCTTTTCTCGCATTTTCTACGAGTATGCAACAAGCGTTCTCCGCGTCTAAGCGCACCCCTTTCCCATCACCAACCCTCTTTTCTCTTTGTCCTCTCTCCAGCCATTCCGCCAGTGGAAGAAATCACGTTTCGGACGGTTCGCTCGTCGTTCGGGATAAAAGTATAATTCCCGCGTCCCGAGCTGCGAATTCCTTGTTATTCCCGTTGCCTGCGTTGTTGCAACAGGAATTGCTCGGTTCGCCGAGGCTCGGCCGTCTTCCTCAAAGTTAAATTGCACCGGATGCTCTTTCGTTGACCCGCTTCCAACCCGGGGCCCTCCCCTTCCTCCACCTCATCCTATTTCTCTTCCTCCACGCGGTTGTCGTTACGAGAATTCTTGCATTCTCGAACGCGACCGAGACGCTTCCCTTTTTCCACGTAAAACGAGTCATTTCTGCCCGAGATGAATCCTCTCTTGGTTTTACTATTCCGCGGATCGTAACGTTGTTTGGGAAGAGCGACGCGAGTGGAAACGCGAGTGGAGTTGGTTTCGCGGGATAGGGTGCTCGATCCCAAAGGACGTTCCTCGCATCCACGTTTGTTGGTAGATTTATTAGCAAAGCCGCGTGGCCAATTTTCGGTATCGGGTTAAGGGATTTACGAAGGCGGATTATAGGTTAAGGGTTTACGGGAAACCAAGACGAACAGAGATATATAAGAACCGTCGAGTAAGAGCGTGCACAAGGTGAACGCTTAAACGGGCATTCAGGGTGGAAAAGGGGTTTGCGAAGACAGGGATATTTAAATAACACCTGGAGACCGAGATGGGTCGTGTAAAAATGAAAGGAGGGATATACGGATACAAATTGAGAATTATAGAGGCGCTCGAGAAAAGGGGGATGAAATAAATATCCATAAATAAGAATTAAGGAGTACGAAAAAGAAGAGAAAAGATAAATTGCCACGAAAATAGAGTACTAAAGAGAGATTTAGAGATACGAAGCTTCGAAACTCTGGTATCAGGATCGGGTTAACGAATTCTTATCCGATTTTTCGTATTCGACTCTTCATACGCGCCGGGACGAAATAAATAGCGAATCGAACGAAAGGGTAAAAGTGGGGAGGAAAACATACCTCGATAGCGAGAGCTTGGACCCCGTCCCTGGCCTCGGCACCGGGCATGTAAACGTTTTCCTTCGACATCCAGAGTACCTTGGTGTACATCGGCTCGGCGCAAAATTCGACCACGATGTTCAGCGATTCACCCTCTTTCGCCGTCACTGTTTGACTAGCTGGATGAACCATGGGTCGACCTGGAACAAAAATTCGCAAACAATTCTGTTAGCCCTCCTCTCGTGGCCGCGTGGTACGCGCTTCTTTTGTCGGCCATAAATACACCCTTCGGTCCCGCCAGCGTAACCCGGACCCCTCCCGCCCCTACCATATCTACCCCTTTTTATCTATGGAGCCTCCGCAGAGCTTTGCGTCTCGTTAACTGCGAAAATATCTCAGCGTGTAGCTAAACGACGTAATCTTCCGTAATTCCTGTTAAATTACGTTGTCGTCGGCGAGTGTTCGGCGCGCCGTCGTGTTCCCATCTTAAGTGGAACTTCGTTAAGGTGATCGAATGAAATGGTGGGCAACGTTGAAACGTAGCAACGTAATAACGGGACTATTTCCCAGTGACACCGGCGAATTCGGTGAAAATTAAAACGCGCGAGGGCTTTGAAAATTCTTTCCTCCATCCCCTTTCACCCTTTCCCTCTTCAGCTTTCTCTCTCGCAATTTTTGCTTTTATCTCCGCCTCTTTTTTCCTCTCTCTTCAATAGAGAGAACGGTATCGCAATGTTCGTTAACACAGGTTTATTCCGAGGGTAATTGTACTTTTCTCCGTAACGTTCTGTCCACGGATTGCCGGAGGATCGATATTTTGCGTTAGGGGGTTATTAAAACGAGTGTCCGAGCGTTATACATGAAGTCCAGGTCACGCACAATATCGCGCAGCCGAATTTGGCTTTCGACGGTCAATTTATTCCGCTCGGCAATCATGTCACAATGGCTGTTACAAACAATGAAAAGGTTGATACGTTTATCGAGTTTATGCTCCGTTGTAATCACTGGCTGCCACGGTGATTTATCGCGGCAAGTATCCCCATCGTGCTCAATCGATATCGAACAGGCCTCCGCGATCTTGCTCGACAAGTGCAACGCAATCTGCTCGGAAAAACTCGAATTTAAATATTCCACGAATCGTAAAGTTCTCCCGAATTGTTTAAAAATTTGCCGTGAACTTCTGCTGGGTTAAATCTGATTTAATTTAAAATCCGCGAAAATTAATATCCAATTGCTACAGGAATCTCGTTCGAGTAGAATGATATTTTTCAACGGCAGAAAAATAGAAATAAAATTCGAAAAACACGGATGTACGAACGCGCAACTTGCCAGTGATGTAACATTGTACACGTTTCACGGTTGCGCAGATCGTAACGTGGGTTTGTTAAACGACATATGCGAGCATGTGAAAATAAACCATCCCTTACGTTTGCACGCTGCCATACTTTATCCGCTGATGAGACATCGATGCTCGTTGCTCGTCGAATTCGCTAAACGACCAACGGGCCCTCCGCGTACCTTTATTTTTTTCCTATTATTATTTATGGCCGTTTTTTCATGTTTACGAGCCGGATCGGATCGAAACATCGGCTTTTCCGCGTCGATTCGCGGTAACGCTCGCGACGCTTTTGATTTACTCGTTTCCACGAGTTTCACCAATCTCTCGGCAAACACGGCCTCCAGCCATCGAAACTAGACTTCATAGCGTGACAATGTGGCCGCAACAACGACCCGCTGCGTCGAGAGGGGGACAGGTGGAGAGAAAAAGGTGCAACGAGATGGATACAGATGGATAGACGAATGGATAGGCGAATAGATAGGCGAGCGACAGAATGGTTGGAGAATCATAGCCGCGGCATCTCTATTTGAAAGCCTTAAGGCGATCGTGATTTCCGGCACAGTTTCGCCATCTAGTCCCGTCAAAATATTCCTCGCTAGAGGCATCTGCTGCACGCGGTGTCCTAACGTTTGCGGAAAGGAAATACATTCGGGAAATCGCGAGTCGATCTCGGTTAAAGGGTAACGAATCAGCCTTTCATTCCACGTTATCTCAAATTTCTCGTCCTTTAATTCACACGCGCGTGTTTCAGGGCAATCGTCGTGTTAACACTTAACCTACCGTCCACGTAGATTTACAATTTTATTTGAATTTTTATTCGGCTGTGTTACCAATGCATATACACGTACCGACAAAAGTTAAGAAAGAACTTAATCGTTTGATAATTTGGGTATATTCTCTATCTTCTAGGATACATAGGTTGAAACTAAAAGTGGCATAATAAGATGACATTCTATACATCAGTAAACAATGAGTTCTTTTTCGAACATACTTGTGCAAGAACCACAATTAAATTGAATCGAAGGAAAAAGAGAAAATCTGAGTGACATAAGTTAAGAAACATATATTGTTTAATTTATATAATCACTTTAAATAAAAACAACGATATGCAGACATCTCTAATTTTCATAACAGTCTAGTAAGATGTGGAATAACCCTTGGATTTGAGGACTGCGTGGTATCTGTATGGTATTATCGTGATGTTTTATCGGTAGAAGAATGTCTTTCCAATTGAGTGCAACGTAATCCCACAGATGTTCAATTGGGTTCAAGTTCAGGGATTGACGTATTGAATGTTATTTCATTATGCCATTTTTAGTTTCAACATATGTATCTTAGAAGATAGAGAATATACCGAAAGTCTCAAATGATTACGTTGTTTCTTAACTTTTGTCAGTAACTGTATATGGAAAGATAAAAAGGAAGTTCGTACGATCGATTAATAATGCCAGCATGATAGTTGTCGACGAAAAGACTAGAGATGGAAAAGATATTATTAAACCAAGCTGCATTAACGACTATAACAAATATACGAAACGGGTGGATAGGACCTATCAGTGCCTCTCACATTGCGGCATTATAAGACAAACTAAAAAATGGTCGAAGAGAGCACTATTATTTCCATTTAAAAAATACAAGACACGTAAATAAATAAGCTTATAAAATTTGATCAAAAGTAGCGTTGATTTAATAAAACTCCAACGCTTTAAACCCATACACGCGTGTTTATTTAATTCTGTTAAAAAATTCGCGGAAACCAAGAAAGCCAGAGAAAATACAGCCCTTCCGTTAAGTGCTAAAAAGCTTCCATATACGTAGTTCTGTTTAGAGGTTGCGGAAGAGGGGTTGAACAGTCAGTTCTCCCATTATCGATAGAAAGTAATCGTTTATTCGCCCCGAACGTTTGAAGACACGTCGAAGCTACTTTCATATACGCTTTTCTCGAATGTCACACGGTTTCAACGCTGCAAGGACTTTGCCAAAAATTTCCCAAACGAATTCCACTAAAGTACAATTCAGACGTTCGCAAACGCGGCGACAGTCTCTTCCACCGCAATCCCGATAGCCCCTAAAAGGACAACTTTCCGTTTTATCCCCGGTTCGTTTCGCCACGCGTTTCCATTTCCATCCCCGGTGTCTTATCGAAACGATCGACGAAGGAGAGACACCGCGACTGGCTGTACTGGATGTCGTACCGGCAGCTTTGTCGCTGCACTTTGGCTAATTGAAGCGTGGATGCCCGGCCGGTTAGCCGCGATTTTCCCTCTTTCGGCCATTCTAACCCCGCCAGCCCCCTCGCACCCCTCCGCTCCTTTCACCCGTTCTCATCTGCATGGATTTCCTGCTTCGTAAAGCAAGCTTTCTGACCCTGGTTGGCCCATCTGCAACGGTGAATAGAAGCGGAACAGTACACTCGGCCGTGGCTGCTCATGAATATTCCTACGACTGAAATTACTGGAATACCTTGGCTGTGCCTCTTGTTTCTGTGGCGAGGGTGGAAGCACACGGCCGTCTGTCTGTCTGTCTGTCTGCCTGTCTTCTTTCTCTTCCATCAAACCCCTGTCCCACCTGTGCTATTTCGATACCCGCGCAACGCGTTCGATACCCTACGAACGTCTGACTCGAGACTCTCCTCGCTTTCCGTCCTCCTCTGTTCTTTCTTCCGATATCAGCGAATCGATATGGAGCATAAATTTCGAATCGCCAAGTTTACGACGAAGTTCGTTAAAAGTGGAGCTGTCAAGGGTGGTTTTCGAATAAGCTGGTATAAGGGAAGATCGGGAAGTTGAATCGCGTTCGACGCTTTCGAGCACTGATTCGAAATCGAGAGACGTTTAGAGACGTACGAGAAAGAACAAAGCGGGGATTGAGGTTTGGGGGTTGGAGAAGAGAGCACGGCTATCTGAGTTTTGGGTGGAGCTTGTAAAATGATTTGCTCGGTTGAACGTATAATTAAGAATTACATTAGTGTAATAGAATTAGAGTACAGTCCGAATAAAATCTCTATATACTGATAAAAAGTATGTGATTTTATTTAAAAAAATATTAATGACCTTCATATGTCCTTTACATGTTCATCTACAAAGAAACTAGTACGCTATGCGTAATAATAATGACGTATATCTAGATGGCAATACGTGGTGACCCACCCTGTATAAAAATTAAAGATTCTCGCTATTCTTGAGACGAAACAAATATTTCTCAATCGATACTATGACGATATTTAAGAGATTTTCCCTGAAAGAATCGCGAAACTTTTCAAGCCGCGATATAAAGCTGATCTAAATTCTTGCACAGGGGACTCTGTTCGTTTGTTAGCCAGTACTCGGCTCCGTTCGTCGCGCGTTCAATTATACAAATGAAATAACCGCCTGATAGTTTCTGAACTTCGAGTTCTGGTTGACGGAACAAAGCTGGCTTAATTCCGCCATTAATTTTAATTGAAATGATTAATGAAATCAACGACGGTGAGTCGAAAACGCGGCGTCCGAATGGGATCAGAGCTAATTTCGGGGACGATGCTTCGCAGCGCGAAATGCGGTTTACGTCGCAAGCACGGACGTGTTTCCGCGAATATGTAAATGCTATTCGCGAAACTGCCGTGTAAAATTCCCGAATAGTTGCAACCACTTTCGGCCTGAACTTCCGCCGACGTTAGCGTCCATCTTGAAATCCGGAATCAACTTTTCGCTCTGCTTTATTTCCCTCCCTTCCACGTTCTCCTCTTTCCTTCTTCTCTTTCCCCTATTTCCTCCATTTTTTCCTGTCTCCTCTTTCCCCTATTTCTGTTAATTTTTCTACTTCCCGATCCAACATTTTCTTGGTCTCCCTTTCCCCTTATTTCTCCTATCTTTCCCACTT